CAGCTGGCCCCTCTTTGTCCAGCCTCTCCTCCAGGCCCCTGGCCTCTCTCTCTGCTAACCTTTATCAGCACAAGGCTCAAACCCTCCAAATGCCTCCCCCAGACTCAGAATCCCACACAGACGCACTGCCAGGTTCAGCTCTGCAACGCCAGTTATACTGGACACACAGAAGGCGCTTGATCAGGGCTCCAGGGAAATGCAGTTGAGAGTTCCTGACAGCACTGGTTTAATCTGAGTGGCCGCTGTGCTCTGTGGGTGCAGCTGAGAACAAGATACACACCACAGAGCTTTCCATCTGGTCAATGGGACCTAACTTTCCCATCTACTAAATGGGAAGCATTGGCCAGCTGGGCAAATTCTTTGGGATGACAACATATACTGCCATCTGAGACCATGGCTCAGGAACCAGTTCAATTCGTGTTTCGATTGTCCCTTAAAGAAACGAAAAGCACATTCTTATCTCTTCATTTCTGGGGTTGCTTCCAGTGTTGGGGGATCATGTTCCAGCCTCAGGCAGTGCAGAACAGTGGCTTTCACACCAGAGTCTCCAGGAGAGCTTGTTCAAACCCCGATGGCTGGGCCCCACCTCAGGGATTGGGACTCAGTAGGTGTGGGGTGGGGCCGAGAATGAGCATTTCTGACAACCCCCCAGGTGCTCTGTTGGTCCTGGGGCAGCATCCTGAAAACCAAGAGTCCAATGCACATTAGCATCAGTGGTCTTGGGTTTGCATCACAGCTTTGCCTTAGCCTCACCATGTGACTGACCTCAGGCACTTCACTGGGGGTCAGATTCCCTCTTTGTAAAAGGGGAGGGTGTGCCTCCCAGACGCCACATGCTGGGCGCTGTGGAGATGCCTCCTGGAGCTGTGGCAGGGCAGCCCTCTGGGGCAGGTGGCAGGGTGGGACAGGAGGGAACACTGCGTGTGGACTGACAACCTGGGCACTAAGTGCAAGCTGGTAAATGTGAAATCCCTGACACGAGCTCATGGCTTGTGATTTGTTCTTTCTTCCTGGATGAGAAGGGTGGGAAAGGGCTGATTTGTCCACAGGCCCTTGAGCTGTGAACCCAGGATGGGACGTGGGTTCCAGGCCCAGCAGGGCCTCTCCCTTCCCAGCAGGGTGGCCACATAAGATGCAGGGGACCCAGACACATTTGTATTTCAGACAAATCATAGCTTTTTTAATGTAAGCATGTCCCAGATGTTGCATGGGATACACTTATGCTGAAAAAGTACCTGCTGCTTATCTTAGATTCACAGTTACCTGGGCATCCTGCATTTCTGTTTGTTACATCTGTCAATTCTAGCTCCTAGGCCCTCATTCACTTCTTCCAGGGGAGGTACTATTGTGACCTCTCAAGAAATCTCGCAGGTAAAAGTTGCTCAAGTTTGAGCGCTGTTCACAGTAATACAAAAGTGGACACCACCCTAGTGTTCATCAGTGGGTGAGTGATAAACATGTGATACATCCATACAGTGGACTGTTACTGATCCCTGCTACCCATGGTTGGTCCTTGAAAGCACACTGAACCAAAGAGGCTGTCACAAAAGGCCACATGTTGGGTGACGCCTTCACATGAAACAGAGCAGGCAAATAAACCCCTAGGGAAGGAAAGCAGATTCCAGGCTGCCAGGGTTTAGGGGAGGATGAAATGGGAAGTAACTGCTTACTGAGTATGGGGTTTCCTTTTAGGGTAAGGACATGTCCCAGCACTAGACAGTGGTGATGGCCATACAATAGTGTGAATGTACTAAATGCACTCATGGTAAATTTTATGATCTGTGTATTTCCCTACTATTTTTTAAGACTTGCTCATGTTCACCTCAGAGTTCCTCCTAGCTGCAGAACCCAAGCTCCCTGCCTTTCAGCAGCCCCCAAGCCAAGGTACTTCATCCCCTGCCCCTCTTCCTCCTTTGACAGAAGCAGGATGAGCATCCTCCTCACCAACCTGTTCAGAAGTGTCCTTCAAGCTTTGGGAAGAAGTACACCACCACAGACAGCCATTCCATTGCCTCAGTTTTAAATATTTATTTAAAATCCAGAAGGGAGAAGAAGAAACGGAACCCACTGGGGTTCTAGCACACTGACATGTGGACAGAGACATAAACAAGGACAGCAGAAAAACCCAAGAAATAGACAAAGGCCAGGCTGACACTGGCGGCACGGGGAAACCAAGGGCAGAGATGAGGCCCGAGCTGCTACGAAAACGCACTTCCGTCAGAAACGTCCAGGCAGGGGCGGGGAGGAGCGGAATACAGAAGTGTCCAGTCAGGAGTGTGGGCCAGAATGAGGTATTAAATAATGAAAACTAAATCCAATTCCCAAAAAGACACAACTTTAGAAAAGTACACAAACAGAGACTTTGACACATTTTCTCCTTCTATAAAAATAATTCCATAGTTAGAAGAACCTCAGCATCCAACTTGAGAGCTGATGTGTTGGCTGCCAGCACGTTCAGATTACACTTATTATCACTACAATGTTCAACTGAGATTCCCAGTTATTCTTCCTCCTCAGCCCAATTTACACGTGGAGCTAACACACTGGGTTTCTAGAGAATTTAATGACAATGAAATAGCAAGGACCTACTGCACCTGGAAGGGGAGGCCTTGGGGTTGCATTATGAAGGCTTGGGAGTTGGCTCAATGTTTAAATTCCATCTCCCAGGCCAGTCTTGACCAATGCCATTCTTGTAACAGTTTCTTCAAAGTCCAGACTTCTTCCAGAACCTCTCCAGGACATGCTCTCCAAGGCAGCCTGACATCCCTCTGGGACCAAGAAAGGTCAAGTCAAAATCCTTGGTACTCAGGCCTCCCCCATCTGAAGAGGACAAACATTTCAAAGTCCATGAGTTAAAAGGTGAATCTCTCTACTTCTGGTTTCCGGCAGTTTTTTTTTCTCCTTTCCTCTTTAAGCAGTTACCTGATGAGCACAAGGGGGGTGGTAGGAAATTTTTATTCATTTCCCAAACTTTGTCATTTGGAGGAAACAGCAAGATGTGGACAGTGACCCACATCAAAAAGTTTCTTCAAAGTCTGCGGCAAAATGGTAGCACCTTTAGAATCTTAAATAGGGTGGTTGTTCTCTTACCATTAAAAAAAAAAATCACAAACACTACGAGACATTGTGAGCACCAGCGATTTCACAGTGGGAGGTAGCAACGTGGGCCCCCAGCCCCGAGGGTCTTGCCTCTCCCTCTATGGGCACCCTCACTTCCCACCCCCTGGCTGCTCTTTCTCATGCCCCTACCTCCTTCCCAGGTGAAAAAAATAGTAACACATCTTCTTTTTGTTTAAATAATATATATATATACTTCTTTCCTTTTCTCTTTTCATGTCTCCTTCCTAATATTGCACATCGAAAGCTCCCTGGCAGGGACCAGCTGACGAGATGCCCCCTTCCCTCAAGTTGGCTTGAATGTGGGGCTGTTTGGGCAGGAAGCTGGGGAGGGAAGGGGGTGGCCGTAGAGCTGGCAGACGGGCCACCGGGCTCAGGCGAGTTGCAGGCCCAGCTTGTTCGGGCTGGCTCTTTGGTTGGTCTTTGAGACTGAGCTAGGAACAGTCACTCCTCAGGATACCCTGTCCCCTGCTGCCCCCACCCACTTCTACTGGGCAGTCAACAGTTGGGGCCTGCCCAAGAATCCCTGGGTGGGTGGGCTGCCTCATTAGGCCCACCTGCCCCTAGGTACCCTCCCTTTGCCTCCTCTTCCTTCCCCCACGAGGCCTAGAGGAGCCAGGAGGTCAGAGGTCAGAGGAAGCATGCAGGTCCAACTTCGAGGCGGTACTGCTTTCCTGATGACACAGGAGGGAGGTTGTCCACGCTAACAATGGGCAGCTGCTGGGGGTCCTGGGTCCGGAAGGTGAAGAGCGTCTGATGCCAATGGCCATCCTGGACCTGAAGGTGGAAGGAAATGGTGCACATGCATTGGCCATGGCTCCCTCCATATCTCCCAAGCATTTCCCCATCGTTTGTCCTCATACTTCTTAATGGCTACTGTGGTGGTGAAGTCTGGCTGGGCCTGGTTGAGTGGTTGGGCCCCTGGTGGTAGTTATTCCCCATGATGAGACTGGCAATCACCTCCATGGTGGGGACTACCACAAGCAGCTGAGTAGCTGCCTTTGGGATGTGGTCTGCTTCCCGTAAATAAGAAACAGCTTTGAGACTGATCTCTAGCTTATGGCACCTTGGACCCTGCATGTAGCCGTGTTGTTGTTCAGCAGCCTGCCATGCTCTGCTGACCTTGGGACTTTCAATGGACTTAAATTAATGGCCTGCCGTGTGGTTTGGTTTGGTAACATCGGGACTGTGCCATTTCATTTGTTGACCTTGGGCTTCTTAGCCTCAGCAGCCAGTAGCTGCCTGAGTGAAGAGATGCCTCCAGCTTCAGTGGGCCGGGAGCAAGAGGCAGAGCTGAAGCCCAAAGTCAAGGGACTTCCACACAGCCCCTAGAGCCTGGCACTTTGAACTTGGACTTCTAGCCTCCTGAACTGTAAGAGAATAAACTCCTATTTAATAAGGCCATCCCTTTTGTGGTATATTTGTGGTATATTCTTGTCAGAGTGGCACTAGGTAACCAGAACAGCTACTTCACTGCAGGAACAACCCATTCTGGGACACTTAAATTGCTTCCAATTTCTTATTCTTGTGAGTAAGGCTGTAATGAACATCATTGTGGCTACATCTTTATACTCATGTTTTATAATTACTTATTCTCACCATTTCATATAAATGAGAGCATAAAATATTTGTCATTCTGTGATTGACTTATTTGGTTCAACATGTCTTCAAGGTTCATCCATGTTGTAGCATGTTTCAGGTCTTCATGGCTCTTTAAGGCTGAGTAGTATTTCGTTGAATGTATGTACCATATTTTGTTTATCCATTCATCTGTTAATGGGCAGTTGTTTCATCTTTTGCTATTGTGAATAGTGCTTTTAGGTTCCTAGGGTATGTATGTAGGAGCTCTGGTGGCGTAGTGCCTAAGGCATTTGACTGCTAACCAGAAGGCTGCTGGTTCAAACCCACCAGCCACTCCTTGGAAGGAAGACCAGGCAATCTACTTCTGTAAAGATTTACCACCTCAGAAACCCAATAGGGGTCACTCTGAGTTGGAATCAACTCAATGACACTGAGCTTTTTAGGGTACATATGCAGCAGTGGAATTGCTGGGTCATATGTTAAGTCTATTTTTAGTTTTGGAGGAATCACCACACTGTTTTCCACGATGGTTTTACCATTTAACTTTCTCACCAGCAGTGGATAACAGTTCCAATCTCCCCACATCCTTGCCAACCTTTGTTATTTTCTGCTTTTTTGAGCAGTGCCATCGTAGCAAGAATGATGTGGTATCCCCTTATAGTTTTGATTTGCATTTCTCTAATGGCTAATGGACCAGGCAGTGTTTCATTCTGCTGGGCATAGGGTTGCTATGAGTCAGAGACGACTTGATGGCACCTAACAACAACAATGGCTAATGACTGTGAGCATCTTTTCATCTATCTTGGTGTTTGGTGGGTGCGCATTCTTAAATTTCCCGAGGAGCAGTTCTAGCAGCAGAGTTGTTGGATCTGAAGTTTGGATATGTATCACCTCATTGTTGCTATCCAGAAAGCCTCTATCAACTATTTTTTCCCCAAAAGCTTTGTGTGAGAGTGTCGGTTTCCCCACACCCTAACGAACATTGTGTATTATCAGTTTCTTGTGAAAATTGGTTGTTGCCTTTTGACAACTTTGTTTCCCCCTCCCTGGACAACCCACTCTGTTTTAAGCATCCAAAAAACGTCAAGAGAAGAAATTAGCCTAACAGGAGCAGAGGCCGAGAGAAGAGGGGAAACGTGTCTTCCTTCAAGCAGCCTTGAAAATAAGTACAAACTCTATCAGCCTTTACAACTTGCACCAGCCCAGACCTTCTCTCAGAAGGTTCTCTCAGAAGAAAGGGAACAAAAGCAGTCTTATAAAACTGTTATAATAAACTTATATGAACATAAAAACTTTCTGTGTGTCATTACATTAACTACTGTGGTTTGCTGTTGAGTGTTTTCTGACTTACGGTGACCCTGTGTGTGCAGAGAATGGCCCCATAGGGTTTTTAAGGCTGAGGCCTGTCTCCTGAGAAGCCTCTGTGTGGGTTTGAACCATCAACCTTCCAGGTGGTAGTCAAGCACTCAGCTGTTTGCAACACTCAGGGACGATAACAATTATTACATGTATTATTACAAATTACAAATATTTCTACTGTCCTTGCTGGAGGGGCTCTGAGGGTTACCTTGCAGCCATCCATGGACACCTCTGGCCTGAACTGACCCCCAGCTTCAAAAATCTGCCCATTCCAGGCCCGGAAGCGCACAGCCTTCTTGGCTGGGGTCTGCCCGGTGCCCTCCTGCCACACGGTCATGTTAAGGCAGTGGATGGTGATATGCTGGGTCACCTCAGAGCTTAGCAGATGCAGAAAATTCATCTGGACCCGGCTGACTGCAAACTCGACCTGTGGGGGAGACGCAGCAGTGAGGCTCAGCCAGGCCGGCTGCCACAACTCTCAGAATCCCTCGCCTCTCTCTGGAGGCGGACACACCCTTTCCTGGTAAGCATTTTCCAGCATTTTCTCCTCTGACATTCGCCCCAGCCCTGTGTGAGAAGGGGAAGAGTGGGCATGTGTCCACTCGAAAGACAGGGGAAACTAAAGTCTAGGAGAGCTGGTCCCATAGCCAAGGAGTGAAGGGGAAAGGAAGGAAGGAACCGTGGGAGTCCCCATGTCATCAGATTCCTCCTCCGCTGTACAGATGGCCTTTGAGGCTGACCTGGGATCAGAGAGGAGGAGGACCTTGCCTAAGATTAGGAGGCTGAAGAATGAGAAGTGCCCTCCCCATCTGTTCTAAGTCTCCAGGTCCCCCTGGCCAAGAGCCCAGTGGGAGTGAGGAGGCCATGGTGTTACAGGAAATGGCAGGCCTAAGGACAAACAATAGGGAAGGATTTATGGCTTCAGTGTTCCCCAGGGTGAGCCAGGTCCTCTCCCTGCCATTGTTCCTGATGGGGAAGACCACCCAGATGGGCAGTTAATTACATTGTTAAGCTAGGTGCCAACTCTGGCTTCACCCTTCTGCCAGGGGGATTCACAATGTGGTCCTAAACCTCAGAGTCAGAGGGGAATGGGCCTGCAGAGGTCACTGAGTCCCTGATGGCCTGTAAGCTCTGGCTATAGGGTAGCACTGAGCCTGCCTGCCCTACTCCCTGTTGAACCCTAGTACCTGGCTCAGGACCTAGCTCATCCAATCTGCCTGTGCAGATGAAGGGACCCAACTGGTCAACCAGCTGACCAGTAGGCTGCCTCATTTAGAGACTGACCAACTCTGGGCTTGACACTGTCAGCTCAAGCATTCCCTGGGGTGGGGGAAGGCTGATGGGATGGGACTCAAGGGAGCTCTGGAACCCCACCTCTCCTGCAGCTGGAGAAGCTCTTCTCACAGAGCATTATTGTCCCCAAATGTGGCAGGCTTACTGGAACTGCTGAGCCACAATTTACTGAGGGAGAGCCGAGTGGGGGAGCCCTTACACCTGGGCAGGGTCTCCCATGCCAGGGGGACAACCATGTTGGGACTACCACGATGTGGTTGAATGCCTCACTATTGCTGTCTGCCTGTTGAGTTCCCCCAAAGCATCTAAAACTCTCAGCCCAGAGGCAAGCACATGGTAAGTGGTTAGACATCAGCTCAATACTTGCAAACACCACTCTGTGCAGCACAATCCAAGTGAGCATCACTCGGGCTTATTTCTATACTGATGGTTCATGGTTCCCTCCCTAAGCCTGTTTAGCTAACTGTTCTCTTTTGATTTTAGGCAGAAGGTACTATTTGAATAAAAAACATCAGCATCGTACAAGTTCAAAGGGTTGGAAACTAAGGGCTCTAGAACAACTCAAGCCCAATTTATAGATAAACAAACTGAGGCTTGGAAAGGGGATAACTCTCCCGAGGCCACACAGCAAGACAGAACTCAGACTAGAACCTGGCTTGGCTGTATCCCTGGGCAGGGTGAGGGCAGAGAAAGCCAGTCTGGGAAGGTGTGGGGAGCAGATGGATACCTTGGAGGCTGTGATGGGCTTGAGACATGTCTGTCCACCATGCGTGAAGTTGCAGGAGACTTGGATGGTGTCAGATGAGCAGCCAAGGTTTGGATCCACCCAGTAGGTACCTGCAAGCAGTGTGGGATAGAGAAGGGGTACACATATGGGAGGAGGAGCCCCAGGCTTGATTCTAAAGATGCGGAACCGGCACTATGTGACCTGCTGAGCCTCAGTCGAGCAGCAAGTCAGAGGGATGAGAAAGGGATTTCCCCAAGCCACAAAGACAGAAGGGAACCCTCAGAGGCAGAACTCAGAGCTGGCAGAGGCCCTGGAGGTGGCCACCTGGCTGAGTGCTTGTCCTCGTTGATACCGTGATCTCTTTATTTCCTACAGGAGACAGCTGAGGCTCAGAGAGGCTGAGCCTCTTGCCTAAAGGATATTGAGATCATCTAGTTGAGTGGTTTCTCTCCCAGCATGCAAGACTCCTGCTACGCCTGCCAGGAGAGGGCTGGCAGTCAGGGCTCCCACCCCACTGCTCACATGCAGGGTCCCCACCGGGCTTCCAAGTGAGCTAAGGTCTGTGCAGCTGAAAGAACTGGATCACCTGCCAGCTCATTCAACTCTGCTATGCCCCCTGGGAGCACTTGCTGTGCAGATGAGGGAGGGGTGCTGGGAGCAGGGCAGAGGCTGGCCGAGCTCCAGGAGGGCTGGCTTGTGAACTCAAGTGTGCCTGCCATCAAGGCTTTTTCTTTCCATGGCACCACATCAGGTCACAGATGGTTGAACAAGAGGACAGTAAGGGGTGAATGCTGGCTCTTCCAGAAAGCCTTGATGGTGTCCCCTAGGGCTTGATCTGCTGTGGCCCTCGGGACTTTTTCCTGCATTGTCCCCACTCTGTGGCTCTGTGAGCATGAGACCACTTTTCTGTGTTCCCCATACTATTTCTACACCCCAGGAAACACAAGGCCAGGCACACAGTGACTATCTGTTGGATGAATATTCAACAGCTCAGATATCTATCTCCCCAGGCTAGAGACTTGCCCCAGCTCCTTCTGGAACATCCCACCCTACCCTGCAGTTGCCCTACCCCTGCCCCACCCCTGGGGCAGGGAGTCCTTGCTCCCTACCCCACAGGCTTCCTTACCATCCACCATCTTCTGCTCACAGTCCATGAGGTCCCGGCAGACCCGGGCGGGGTTCTCTTTGGTGCCCAGGGGTGTCTTAATGCTCTGGATGAGGTTGCTGAGGTAGTGTAAGGTTTTAAAGATCTCCCCTCCCTGGTCCAGCACCAGACGGTCTGTATAGCTGTAACCCTGGTGCAAGGAGAGGGGTGGCCATTGGCCCCATGAGTTCCCGACCCAGCCTGAGGTCAAGCTTCCACAGTCCCCAAGTTCTCACTACTTGGGCACATCTCTGAGTTCCCAGGGTCATGGCTGGGGTAGAGGTTGGGTTTCCCTCCCTTTCACAGGAACAAGATGCACAGGGGTGCTGATGGTACAGGGAGACCCTGACACTACTCCCACAATGGGGCAAGAGGAGCAGACTCTCACATGCCAGGGGACCACCACACTGGAGGGGACCCTTACACCTGGGCAGGGTCTCCCATGCCAGGGGACGACCATGTTGGGACTACCACGATGTGGTTGGTGGGACTCCTACAACTGGGAGACTCCACACCGGCAGGAGTACCACGCCGGCCAAGCAGCTTGAGCGGCTGGAGGGTCAGCTCATGCCGTCTGGTACATGGCAGGCAGAGCCCCTGGAAGCACAACAGACAGGGGTGCCCGGGCTACTAGGGGGCGGCCCTAAACCCCATCTGGGTCTGTGGAGCAGATGCAGGCAGCAACAGACATGGAGCACCGGGTCCATGGTGGGCTCCTCTGCGGTGAGAGTGGGGCATCTGTGAGGCACCAGAGGACAGAACTGGGGCAGCAGTCATGAGCCCCAGCAGGGAGGAGGATTTTAGCTCGGAGAAGACCCCCTGGGTGGGAGGGAGAGGCTTGCAGAATGCTAAAGAGCACACCTGCAGGATAACTCACAACAGGTGGGACTCCTGCTGCAAATCAGAGCTAAGTAAACCCTCCTCCCTCTTGGCTTGTGGAAGTAATGTGTGTGTGGTGTGTGTGTGTGCACATGCATGTGTGTGGCTGGCAATGGCTATGTGACCTTGGACTCTGTGATGCCCACTCTCAGCCTCAGCACCCGGCCCCCACCTGTAATTGTGGATGCCAGAGACCAGAGCTATGAAATGCCCTGTGCAGGCCACATGGAGAACACCTGCCACACATGGGCCATCATTTCTGCTTTGCCCAGGAAAGGCCCCCACACGGGGCAGGGCTCCAGTGGTACCTCTGTTTTGAGGGCTCCATTAGTGTCCATCCATGTATGGAAAGCTGCCCCAAGGTTATCTTGTTGCTGTGCAAGGAGAAGAGAGGATGTTGGCCCTGACACCGCACCTTGGGAACCCCAATGCACCAGATGGGAGTCCCGGGGCCTGAGCATGCCTCTCCCACCTAACCCCCACCTCAGAATCAAAGCCAGCAGTACCTTGGCCAAGTCACATGCCCTGTGTGAAATGAACCCTGTTCTCCCTCCCTTTGCAGACAGAGGGAGCTCCTGAGACTCAGAGCTGACCCTGCCACCACCTTCCTTCAGGCCTCACCACAGTCCTTCATTGCCCTCAGGATCAAGTCGAAACTCCTCTGCTGGTTACAAGGCTGGGCCTGAGTGCTGCACCGCTGTCTCCAACCTCACCTCTTTCCTCCCCACCCCCATACACTCATGCACCAGACACACGACAGAACTGGATTCCTAAATGCCATGCTCCCTATAGTCACCAGGCCTTCGCACATGCTGTTCCCATTGCCTGGAGCACTCTTCCTTCCCTCCAGCACTCTGTCTGGCTTTCTCCTGTACCAGAGGTTCTGAACCAGGGGCAATGTTGCCCCCAGGAAATATTTGGCAGTGGGTGGAGACATTTTTGATTGCTGCAATTGGGAGTTACTGGCACCTCCTGGTGTGGAGTCATCACTTAGGACAAGGATGTTGCTAACCATCCCACAAAGCACAGGGCAGTTCCCTACAGCCTAGATTATCTAGTCCCAGATGATAGCAGCGAGGCTGAGAAACCCTGCCCTCTACTCAAACTGTATGTGTCGGCTCCTACAGGAAGCCTTTCCTGATGCTGCCGCCCCTAGGCTAGGTGAGGCTCGCTTTCTCTGTGTACCCATAGTCCCCATGTTTCCCCATCAAAGACCAAATCTTTTGTCTCACACTGTGACTGTCTCGTATACAAGAACATCTCCAGCCCAGTCCTGGGCTCAGCGACACACAGCTATAGTCCTCCCATGAACCAGTCTGACAGTGAGTAAAGCTCAGGGTTGGGGTTCAAAGCCAGCGTCTGGAAGTACTTCTCAGGGTCAAGGCCAGCCCTGCCACTTACTAACACAGAAAGAAGTCTGTAATCTGGGGCAAGTTGTTCAACCTCTCTGTGCCTCAGTCCTTTCATCTTTAAAATGGGCGTGATAAGAAAACTACCACACAGCACGGCTGAGAGGAATGAAGGAGTTAACACGTGAAGAGCACTACGGGGTGGGGGAGGGATCTGGCAAGCTCTCAGTAAAGACTAGTTATTATGCAAAACACTCAAAATCCTCCAGTTTTTTGTGTGTTAGGAGCAAAGAGCTTCTCCTGCCTCTTTCCCCCCCCTCCCCCCCACAGCTGGCTTTCTTACTGGTGGGAAGGGCTGGGGAAGGCTGTAGAGAAGAGGCCAGGACTATCATGCGTTGTTGTGGACAGTGCAGAGTGAGGGACAGTGAGAAGCTGAGAGATGAGAACAGCAGAGACTTTGAGGAACCCACAGCCAGCCTAGGGGTTCCTGCTCATCCCTCCAGGGCAATTCCTGGGACGCTGTCAGGGCCGATTCCAACATCAATCCACCAGTATGGCAATGAAACGGTGGTGGAGTCGACATGGAACTTGGGAGGGTCCATGCTCTCGGACAGGGCTGCAGCGTCCGCCAGGGAGGTAGGTGGTGCCCCAGTGTGCCCTCTGCTTGGACTTCTCTGGGCTCAGAGAGTCTGAGACAAAGGAACCCTCAGGGATCTGCCTGACACAGTGTACAGACAGGACCCAGGGGCTGAGGGTTGGAGCATTTTCCTGGATTCACAGTTAGGGGTGCATCCAGGTCTCCACGTCCTGGCCCAGGGCTTTCTACTACACCACAGTGCAAAGGACATGGGTATCCTAGCCCCAGCTTCGGCCTCTAGCCACTGTGGTCTCAGCTGTACCCCAGGCCCTTCCCCAAGTGGGCAAAAGAGAATGTTCTCCGACTTACAAATGGAATTGGACTCCCTGGAGGACCCTGCAAGAGAAGAGGACGGGTCAGTATTTGATGGGAACCAGGCATCAGAGGAATCGGGCTATCAGGGCAAAAGAGGACCCAGCATGCTGGTCTCGCTCTCCCAGAGGCCTGGCCCCTCCAGGGCTGGTCCCACTTTCTAGAGGCCTGTGAAGTTCAGGGCCAAGGCAAGCATCTGCCCACAAAGGCTTGGGACTTATTCAAGGGAACCTGAGCTCCTGCCCCTGGGAGTCCAAGAGGCACTGGGCACCCAGTTACTTACCGGTGGGCCAGGCTGCCCTCTTGGGCCAGGAGGACCCTAGAGGAAGAGAAGATGAATAGTGAGGCCCCAGTCAGCACAGGCCTTCTATCCTCCACCCCCACCCCAGGTGCTCCTCAAGCAGAAATGAGACCCAGGGACAAGGTAAAGATGGGTACAGATGGGAAGACTGAGGTCCAGAGAGGGCAAGAATGGACCCAAAGTCATTGAGCATTATCAGGAGGAAAACCCAGAGTCCCCAGTCCCCATCCCCTTTGTAGCCCACCCCCTCACATCCCAGCCCACTCACCCTCGGACCTTGCAGTCCCTGGAGGGAAATAGAAGCAGGGGACAGAGTTAGGGGCCATTGGGCTGACTGTGGCCTCAGCCCCAGAAGCCCACCCCTCTCTTTACCTCTAGCAGCATTGCCCCTAGGCCATCTACTCACCAGGTCCCCTCGGCTGCCTCTGTCACCTTTTGGGCCCTGTAACAAACCATGACCCAGTGAGAGAGGGCTCACAGGGGGAAACTGAGGCTCAGACTGGCTCTGGTTCACAGAGACAATCTGGAGTCAGAAAGGCAAAACGACCCAGGAATCTTCCTGCCCAGCCCCCTGCACGTACCGGGAGTCCGGAAGGTCCCAGGATCCCAAGGGGCCCAATGATGCCTTCCTTTCCCTACAGGAGAGAGGAAGGCTTGTGTATCCTCATCCTCACTCCCAGACCCTGGGAATAGAGCCCTCTGAGAGAGCAGGGTGGAGCAGCCTACATGTCCCAAGCGAGGATGGGAGAGCTCCTCAGGCAGGGCCAGCCAGGCATCTCCTTGAACCCTCCTATGTGCCTTGGGGTGGGCTGCAAGAGTGGGGGAGGGGAACAGGTGCAGGAGGGAGGATGGCTGTGCAGGCAGCAGGAGCAGCCTAAGTAAAGGTGTGCACGTGGGCATGGAGACCACGGGCAGACAGGACTCAAGACTGAAGGAGGAGAGGACCTGGGTCCAGCCAGCTGATGTCTGAGCCAGCCTTGCTGCTCAGAGAGAGAGGGAGACTCACCATTAAGCCCGGCGGCCCCCGAGGACCCTGGATGCCTTTGAAGCCGATGTCTCCTGGGGGCCCCTGCAGGAGGCAGAAAAGACTGTCTGTGTTTGTGGGGCTTCAAGGCAAGGACCCCACAGCTCGCTCACCCCTGGGGTCTAGCCCACCTTCACCTTCCCTGACGGGAGAGGCCTTGCATGAGAGGCCCCAGGAAGAGAAATGGATGGCCACCGTTCTTATTACTGAGCAGGTACCAACGTGCTGGTTTTACTTAATCCTTGGAACAACTCTCCACTTTTATAATCTCCATTGGCCAGTGAGGAAACTAAGGCTTGGAGAGGTGAAATGACTTGCCTGAGGCAAGTGTGGAACCCCGGTGGCTGGACCACGGCAGGGGCCGATGTTCCAGTTTGATTCCATCTGTGTTTCAGCGGACCTTCTAAGCACTCAGTAAATGTTTGTTGAATGAACACACGAATGAATGGGTGGGTAATGAGACCCTCACAGGACCAATGAGGAGTGGGAATCTGTACCTTGGGTCCAAAGAGGCCAGCCATTCCTGGGAAGCCCATCTCTCCAGAGTCACCCTGTGAGGAGAACAGGAAAGCTGGGGTGCACAGGACCAGGACAAGGTCGTCCAGCCGTCACCCCGGACCCTGGGCCTGCATTCTCCCTCCCAGCCTTTCCAGGGGTGGCAGTGACTCCACCGCCAGGGGGTCAGAACAGCATGAACAGCTTCCAAACTATACTTCTCATCAGCCTGGGCTAGCAGATGAAGAAGTAGAGGCCAGCTTAGGGATTCTACCAGGAATGAGCTTCAAGGGCACTCACAGTGTCCTGTCCCAGGTCTTCAAGGAAGAGAACGAAAGGACCTGTGGAGCCCCCACCCCCACCCTTCCCACGAGCTCTATGAAGGAATGGTCCCCTGAAAGCAACCCCCTTAGCTTTAGCTGAGGGCCCTCTATGCATCTGGTGTTTTGCATAGAGGGCTTCTCACTGTTCCCACACCAACCCAGGGAGGCACAAGAGCTCCTGGTCCCAGGTGGGGAAACAGAGGCTCAGACAGGGCAGGTCTTGCCCGAGTCACACAGCCAGTATGCTGTGGAGCAAGTTAGATGCAGACCCAGCTGGAAACGATTCTGTCTCCTGCTGTCATTCTTCAAAAACGCACTCAGCAGGGGGCAAGTGAGGGCTGGAGGAAGGACCAGCAGCCCCTGGGGACATGGAGGTCTGTCATTATGTGACAGAGTTTAGGCTCATGAGTCAGACAGCCCTGGGTTAGAACCTTCCACCCCCATGTTGTGACACCTAGGGCAATTCACTTCCACTTCCTACACTCAGTTTCGCCATCGGTGAAATAAGGTCCTTCCTCCTTTGTTCAGACTCTCACTTGCCCCTTGCTAATTGCCCCTCTGAAGGATGGGAGAGAGAGGCAGAAACAGAGGCCCCCAGAATAAGGATCTCCTTCTCAGAGGGCCTGGGAGGATGCAGTGACATCATGCAGGGGAAGACCTGGCACTGGGGAGGGTGAGTTGAGGGCCAGGCTGAAAGCCCATGCCATCTGAGTTCTATTTGTTCTCTTTTTTTAAATAATAGCTTTATTAAGTTAAATTTATACACCATAAAATTCACCTTTTAACATGTACAATTCAGTGGTTTGTAGTATATTCGCAACGTTGTGCATTGGTCAACACTATCTAATCTCAAAACACTTTTACTCCACACCCCAAATAGAAACCTTGTAACCATAGTAACCCTCCCTGTCTCCTCCATCCCCAGCTCTTGGCAACCAGTCATCTATTTTCTGTCTGTATGGATTTCCCTACCCTACACATGCCATATAAATGGAAACATGCCATATACGGCCTCTCGTGACTGACTGCTTTCACATAGCACAGTATTTTCAAGGTTCATCCACGTTGTAACATGTATTAGTGCTTCATTTCTTTTTACGGCTGCATTATATCACATTGTATGGATGGACCACATTTTGTTGATCCATTTAGCAATTGGTGGACACTTGGTTTGTGCTGTGGATTGAACTGTGTTCCCCCAAAACATGTATTCTAAATGCTAACCCCTATATCTGTGGATGTGTGGGAAATGTGAACCCCGTATGTGGACGTATTCCCCTTTGGGAGTAAGGGTTTCTCTGTGTCATTGATGAGGCCGTCTGGGTAGGATGTGCCTTTTGAGATATACAAGGATCAGATTAGGCACAGGAAAAGAAATAAGGGTGAATGAGGAAAGAGAGACACCAGGTGCCGAGAAGAAGCTGAGATAAGGACTTCCCCCAGAGTCTGACGGAGAAGCTTCCCTGAAAGCCGTCACCCTGAACTCAGACTTCTATCCTCCGAAGCTGTGAGAAAGCAAATCTGTTCATTAAAGCCACCCACTTGTGGTATTTCTGCGACAGCAGCACTAGCAAACGAGACAACCTGCTCCCACCTTTTGGCTCTTATAAATAACGCTGCCATGAACATTCCTGTGCAAGTTTTTATGTAGACGTATGTCTTTGTCTGGAGCTCTGGTAGTGTAGTGGCTAAGGCACCTGACTGCTAACCAGAAGGCTGGCAGTTCAAACCCACCAGCCACTCCTCAGAAGGAAGGTTGGGCAATCTACTTCCGTAGTGATACTGCCTCAGAAACCCAAGGAGGGGTCGCTATGAGTCTGGTCCGATTGGACAGCACATAACAACAACGACATGTCTTTATCTGGCTTCGACATCAGGGTGATGCTGGCCTCATAGAATGAGTGGAAAATATTCTATCCTCTTTAATTTTTTGAAGGAGTTTATGTATAATGTGTATTATTTCTTCTCTAGATGTTTAGTGGGAGCTCTGGTGGCATAGCACCTAAGGCATTTGACTGCTAACCAGAAGGCTGGCAGTTCAAACCCACCAGCCACTCCTCGGAAGGAAAACTGAGCAGTCTACTTCCGTAGTGATACTGCCTCAGAAATCCAAGGAGGGGTTGCTATGAGTCAAATCAACTTGACGGCAGTGAGTTTGGTTGGTTGGTTTTTAGATGTTTAGTGGAATTCATGAGTAAAGTCATTTGGGCCTGGGGTTTTCTTTGTTGGAAAGTTTTTAACTACAGATTCAAATTCTTATATAGACAGACAAAAGGTTACTTAGACTATCAATTTCTTCTTGAGTGAGCTTTGGCAGTTTGTTCTTTCAAGGAATTTGTCCATTTCATCTAAGTTGTTGAATTTATTGGCATAAAGTTGTTCATAATATTCCCTGTCTTTTTAATATCTGCAGTATCTGTAATGATGTCATTTCTCTCACTGCTGATATTGCTAATAATAAAATAATTCTTCATTTTCTTTTCTGATAAGTGTGCCTGCAGGTTTATTGATTTTATTGATCTTTTAAAAAAAATCTTTTGATGTCCTTGATTTTTTTCTTTTCATTTTTTCTGTTTCCTATTTCATTGAATAGCACTCTGATCTTTATTATTTTATTTCTGCTTACTTTGTTTGTAATTTGCCTTTTTCTCAGTTTCTTAGGGTCAAAGCTAAGGCCATTGATTTGAGATTGTTCTTTCGTGTTGCAGGAGTTTTGTCCTGAGTGCTGCGTTACGATTTTGATATGCTGCGTTTTCATTGTCATTCCATCCAAATACTAATTTCTCCTGTGACCCATTGTCTATTTGGAAGTTGGTGACTTGGTTTTCAGATACTTGGGGACTTTCCCCATATCTCACTGTTGCTGATTTCTAATTTAACTCCACTGTGGTCAGAGTACATACTTGGTGTGCCTCGAATCTTTTAAAAGGTATTAAGACTGATATTATGGTTCCAAACATAGTCTGTCTTGGTGAGTGTTCTGTGCACACTTGGAAAGAACGCAGACCATGCTGTGTTGGGTATGGAGTCATCAAGAGGTCAAGTTCGTTGATAGTGTTGAAGTTTTCTATTATCTTCCTGATTTCTATTTCTTCTACTCATTATTGAGAGAAATGTATTAAAATCCTCCACTATAATTCCACATTTGTCTTCTTCTCCTTGCACTTCTACCAGTTCTGGCTTAATGTATTTTGAAGTTCTATTGTTAGGTACACAAACATTCAGGTTAGCAAAGATTGTGAAAATAGCTCAGGGCTGGGCATTGTTTCACCCTGTTGTGCACAGGGTCACTGGGAGTCCGAGCCCACTGGAGAGCACCTGACAACAATAAACAGTGAGGATCCCAATGCCGTGTTGACAAGCTGACCCCTTATCGTTATGAAATGAACTTCACTGTGACTGTGAATATTCATTGCTCTGACGTCTACTTTGCATGGTAGTAAAATAGCTACTCTTTCTTTTGGTGTCAGCACCGTATTATCTTTTTCCATATGTTTACTTTAATCTATTTGTAACTTTCTGTACGGGTTTCATTAAAAAAAAATTATTGTAACTTGGGTGCAAATTTACAAAGCAGATTCTTTTTACTCTCAACAGTTCATATACATCTTGTTTCACAGCAGCGATTACAATCCCAACTTCAAACATCTTTCCTCCCATCTCCTCCCTGTGACTGCCCCTTCCCTGTGTCCTTCTTACTTATGCATTCCTGTCTGTCCAGCTTTCATCTATGTGAATGCTGCCCCGCTGATGTCTCATGGCTGATTGACCTAAGGGGTGCATCTCCCTAGGGTGGATGGGTGCCTCTCCCGGGGGTAGGTGTTCTGCCTGTAGGTCTTTCTGCCATTTGGCTAAGGACTAATCCACTGGAGTGGGTTACTTGTAGCAGTATATACTTGGATCTTGTTTTTTCATCCCATCTGACCATCTCTGTTTTTGAATTGGGATGTTTACACCATTTGGTATTTGCCTCATCTATTCCTTGTTCATTTTCAATTCTTTTTTCAAGGCAGGGGTAATTTAAATTTAGCCCTTGGGACAGAAGGAGGAGTGAAGGTGGTGTGTGGGGAAAGAGCACTGGGGCAGGAGTCAGTATACATGGGGTTCTGGTCCTGATCCCCCCTCCTCATTCTGAAAGGACCATCTTGTCTCTCTTCTCAGTTCCTTCTAGGCTGACTGACATCTGGTACCTGAGTGTCTCTCTATCATTGTCACAGAGGAGGCAGGTGGCTTCTGTGTGTATGTGCGCACGTGTGAAGGTATATGTATGTGAGTGTGTGTGAGAACATGTGTGAACATGTTTCTGTGTGAGAGTGTGTGAGCATGGTGGTCCCTGGGGTTCACTCACCGGCTGGCCTTTGGATCCAGGCTCTCCCTGGTTTCCTGGGAGCCCTGTTCCGCCCTCTGTCCCTCGCTTGCCAGTAGGACCCAGCTGCCCAGGTAAGCCGCTCTCACCCTTAAAGAAACATGCCAAAATTACCTGTTAAAGTTGGAGAGATGGTCCTAAGGGAATGGGGTGGAGACCCTGTTAGGGGAGGACCGGTGATTTCACAGGTTAGGTGAGATCTCAGGATGCGGGGGCAGTAGGTGAAGGCCTGGGGCCGAACCTTAAGAGGAAGGTCTCTGTCCGTACCCTGGCACTCACGGCCCCTCTCGCTCTCCACTCTCTGTGCCGTCTCTCTATTGCTTCCCACCAGCACCCGCTGCCGTTGCCCCTCCTGATTCCTTCTAGCAGCGAGGTTGGTGAGACTTTGTCTCACGTCCTCCAGACATGTTATCAAGAGGGACCAGTCCCTGAAGAAGGACATCATGCTTGGTAAAGTAGAGGGTCAGTGAAAAAAAGGAAGCCCCTCAATGAGGCGGACTGACACAGTGGCTGCAACAATGGGCTCCACATGGCAGTGACTGTGAGGAGGGTGCCGGACCCGACAGTGTTCTGTTCGGTTGTACACGGGGCTGCTATGAGGTGGAGTTGACTCGACAGCACTGAACAGCAACAACATCAACACCCCTACGCACGCGCTCCCTCCTGCCTGGAATGGCCCGTCCCCTTCTTTTCCCACGTAAGTGCTCCCTGGGCCAAAGTCGGCCTGCTCTCCTCACAAGCATTCCAACTAGACCTCCAGCTCAGAGCAGGAAAGACCACGGCCAATTTATTCACCTTAGTCTTTCCTTCCATGTCCAGCCCTGGGCTCAGACAGATTCACGGGCTGCCCTCACCCCTCAACTGAAGTCATTCAAGAAATCTCGTTAAGATGCTGGGGAGGATGATCCCAGTGACAAGCAACATCTGGCGTTCTATAGATGCCCACGAGGGGGCGCCCGTGGACAATGCAACAACCATTTTCAGGTTTCAAGGGTCTGCTTCTTGCTGCTGTTAGTTGTGGATTGGGATTCAGACTCATGGGGACCCCACGGGTGCAGAGTAGAACTGTGCCCATAGGGCTTGCTAGGCTGTGACCTTTTAAAGACCAGGCCTGTCTTCTGAAGTACCTCTGGGTGAGTCCAATGCACCAATCTTTGGGCTAGGAGTTGGGCATTTAACCACCTGTGTCACCCAGGGACTCCAAGGTCTGGTAGGGAAGCAGTGGTTATAGCTACCTGGATAAACTATCTTTTCTATTTGATTCAGGCTCAGGGCAGGGACCCCTGAAAAGGGTTAGAACATGGATTTTGTATTCACCCAAGCCCCATGACATGGATTCTCAAAGGGTTAATAAGAAACAACCAAACCCACTGCCACTGAGTCAATTCCATCTCATAAAGACCCCCACTGGGTTTCCAAGGCTGTAAATCTTTATGGAAGTAGATTGTCCCATCTTCCTCCCATGGAGCAGCTGGTGGGTTTGAACTGACAGCCTTGTGGTTAGCATCCAAATGCCTTACCCACTACCCCACCAGAGCTCCTAAATAGCATACAGTCAGTACTATTACAGTTGATACCAAGGCAGGAAGAGGGGGTGTGTGGGTAAGTGGATTAAAGAAATGTCTAACCTTGAGTCCTGGGGGTCCCTGTGCCCCAGGTAAGCCAGCCACACCTGGATTTCCTCTCTTCCCAGCAAGGCCCATGGGGCCAGGGTCCCCATCATCTCCCTGCTCCCCCTGTAAAGAAAGAGGGCAAAGAGGGGCTCACTCATGTCTCAGGAACTCAGTTGCAAAGGAGACAGGGTGGCTCACAGCTGTGGGGGGTGAGGGGGTGTCATACTCCAGGATGAACTGTCTCCATGTGAGCGTGCTGGACGGGGACATATGAGCTGTGGGTTTGCAAGAGAAGGGCCTTAAAAAGAAAGGGAAGCTCTACCCACTGGTCAGGGATGGCCCAAAGGACCGTGGTGCCGGCCGAGAAGGATGGTCAGAACAGCCCACATGCTTTGCTCCCAAGGGATGAGGGCATTCCCAGTAAACATCTGGACAAGTTGTCTACCCCATCCAAGCTTCCACGTGTGCTCCTCCTGGCCCATGGCCCATGGAATCCCCCCACCCTGTCTCCAATGGCACTGCCACCTGTTAATGCAAGCCCTGCTCACCTGCTGCCCTGCTGGACCATCCCTGCCAGGAAGCCCATCTGGTCCGGCGATGCCCTCAAGGCCCTGTCTCCCCACCACGCCCCGGGGCCCTGGCAGCCCCTGCAGGCCCTGGGGATACACAAGAAGTTGGAAGGGCTTCTAGGGAGGGCAGGAAGGCTGGTGGGAGAGGAGTAGCTACAGGTCACTCACCTGGATCCCCCTCCTGCCTGGTGCCCCAGCCTTGCCTTCCTTTCCCTTTGGTCCCTGGAAGATCAAGAGGGAGGCTGTCTAAGGAGGTGCAGCATGCTAGGCGCTCTGGGAGGGAGGCGATGAAGAGAGCGGCCCCCATGTGATGGACCTACTCCTTCACCTTTTGGGCCTCACCATCTGAATCTGTAAGCCCAGGTGCATGGCTGGCCTTGGGACCTGCCAGGTGTTGACATGACCCTCCTATGGGCCCAGGAGCTCTGGGCATTGGCAGTTTCCTGGTCTGAGCCCAAGTCCATGGGCAGCTGGCCGTCAGATCTTCAAATGTGGGGATTAGCATTCGTGGTGGGTCCTCTACTGCCTCTCAGATCCCTACCATGAGCATCAGTGCTCTCTCCTCTCAGCCCCTCACTTCCTAGCTTGCCATCTGCTCTCCCTACAGCAAGGTCTGGGGGCAGACAGGCGGGATTTAGATCTTAACTGGCCTGGCTTCAAAGCCCACCTACTCCTTCTGAGCTGGCCATCCTCAGGCAGGTATCTCCCCTTCTAGGACCCCTGGCTGATCATCCCAGCCGTTGGGATCATGGTCAGAAAGCACCCTGTGAGGCTTGTGGGGGGGCCTACCCCTCCCTGCGGTTCCCTCCTCTGTCCTAGCCCTGCCTCTGACTTGCTGCGTGACCTTGGGCCAGTCTTCTCCCCTCCCAGGACCTCAGTCTCCCCACGTGAACAGTCAGACCTCTCACCTCCTCGCCTTTTGATCCTTTAGGTCCCGGCCGCCCCTGGGGTCCAGGATGCCCCTGCAAACCAAGGTGAGATGACGCAAGGCAGCCCCAGGACTCTCTCCCGGGGAGGGTGGCCAGTCTCCGCCTGGAGGGGGAGGGTGGGGAGGGGTTTGGGGATGCAGGCTCTCGGGGTGCCCCCAGGGCCGGGGCAATAGAAACCAGAAGGGCTGCCCAGGCTCTAATGCAGGAAAGGCCCCTTTAAACGTTAAAGGGTCCAATTCTTTAATTTCCCCATCCATCACCCTCAGAGAAGGAGGGGGGGTGGGACAGGAAGTACCACTCACGGGGCGGCCCTGCTGGCCTGGCCTTCCACGGATGCCTTGTACACCCTCCTGACCCTGGAAGCCAAGGAGACACAGGTGAGGAGGCCCCACTGTGGAGGGAGCTGGGGTCCAGGGCAACTTCCACTCTGGAGGCTCATTCCAGGGCGACCTGGTTCTTCCCAGACGTGGGTCATTCTCCCTCACTAAGTCTCAGCTTCCCTGAGGCAATGACCCCACCTCCCAGGGTAAGGAATGAAGGAGAGAGGAGGTCGAGAGCCTGCCAGAGGCCCGCTGCTCCTTCCTGCTGCCCTGTCCCTCTCTATCTGCCAGCTGGCTATGGATGGGGAAGGGGAGGCCCTCAGAGGGAAGGGGCTACTCAGAGCCATGCCAGAAGGAAACCATCAGCAAGCACCGGGCAGTTTCTCCCCTCCACCCTCTGACCTTCCCCTCTCTCCATCTCCTTCAGTGCAAATGTCAGTTCCTGAACCCTCTTGGGGGCGTTGTTTCCAGCCTAATAGTGGAAGGAATTGACCTGCCCACTGGAGAAGCCTGTTCTAATTCCCGAGGCTAGGGGCCCAGGAATCTGCCAACAGTAGGAGCTGTGATACTTACAGGGTACCCAGGGTCTCCCGGTTCCCCGCGGTCTCCTCGGTCACCCACCAGACCCTGAACAACAAGGACAACAGCAAAGCATAAACCACCAGAAGCAGAGCAGGCAGGACCTGGGCCTCCTGGGTCACACCTTCCTGTGGAGTTTGAAGCAGCCTTGGGCTGGCTCAGTGGTTAGCCCAGGCTCCAGCTTGGACCAGGTCCAGGGGATGCAAGGGGCAGGGTAGAGGAGTGCCTTACCCGATCTCCAGGTGGCCCGGGGGGGCCCTCGGCCTTGCCATCATCACCCTGCTCCCCCTGCGGACACAGAACCAGCTTTAGGACAAGCCTCCGCTCCGGGTGAACTGTAGGAATTCCAGACACACCGATGCCCACAGGGCCTTCGCCAAGGATGAGGTCCAGCCCCCTAAGGGTTACAGATGGGCAGACTGAGGCCAGAGAGGGAAGCGGCTGGTGTGGGGTCACAGAATGGCTGAGGCAGACTGGGGTGCAGAAGCAGGACTGTCCTGTCAGGCCACAGTGCAGAGCTCTTTGCCCTTCACCCCGCTGGGCACTGCCCAACCTGCCCCTTGGGCTGGAAGACCCTGCAGCATCACCGGGAGTTGGGGCAGAGGAACACCAGTGCACAGTCATCTCTGCGTCAACCTCCAACACGTCCCTTCCTGTCTCCTAGCTCTGCTCAGCTGGGTGCGGGGGGTGGGGATAATGGATGATACCCGTGGGGTGTGTGAGGACCCCAGAGAATGACACAGATGACCCTGCACGGCGCCTGCCACATTGGGGCACCATTAAGCCTCACGATCCTCAGAAGCAGACACTATTATTAACCCCATTTCACAGATGAGACACTGAGGCCCAGAGAGGGGACGGGGCTTGCTCAGTGTTATTCTGACCTCAGCAAGAGTCACTTCCCCCGGCCCTTGCTGGAAGGAGGTGGAGGTGAATGAAGAATCAGCTTTAGGGTGAGGCTCCTATCCCTTGACAGGAAGGCCCCAGGCCTCCCTCGAGTTGCACTCAGCAGCCAGCCAGCTAAGAGAATTGTGCATAGAACAGTTTCCTGTCTGTAAAATCAGGTTGTAAAGCTTTGCCTTGAAGCAGTGGATTCTGGAAAGAAAGGCTTGACAAGCTCTCAGCATGCTGCTGTGCACAGTAGGCACTCAGTGTTGTTAGCTGCAGCCCAGTTGGTCCCTGACTCATGGGGATCCTCTGCCCAGCGGAACGATGCCTGATCCTGCACCATCACTATGATCCGATGCAGATCAAACCATTGCACTCCGTGGTGTCTTCACAGCTGAAGTTCAGAAGCAGATTACCAGACCTTTCTTCCTAGTTCCTCTTGGTCTGCTCAGCATCACAGCCACGCACGAGCCTCCACTGACAATGAGTGGTGGCTGCAAGTGAGGTGCATTGGCTAGAACCAAACCTGAGGCTCCTACATGGAAGGCGAGAATTCTACTGCTAAACCCAGAGCTCAGTAGATGCTCATTAAAATTGCTGTTGATAATAATAAGAGTGATGATGTGATGCATGGATGAAGACAGAGTAGGGGTTGAACGAAGCTCAGAGTGGGATGCTTGTGTCACTGCAGGCCACCCCGGACCCTGGAACCTGCAGGCCCTAGAGGCTGCATGCCCACTACCAGCTACAAAGAAGACATAAGAACAGGAAGTGGCAGAACACCAGGGCTCACACTCTTCCAGGCCCAGAGAACTGGAGTCCCCTTCTCTGGGGACTCACTCTAGGCAGGGCCTCAAGCTGGGGCACCCTGAGCCCCTGTGCTGTCCACAGGCATTGAAGGGGAAGCCTACGAGAAGGGAGCATGCCTCTGGGAGCATGTTCCCGGGCCTGGAGCATGTCCCTGGTGTGAGTCAGTCCCAACTGGCGGACTGCAGGCCTTGGCCTAGGTCCTCTGTGGCTCCTGTGGGCAGAGGCTGAGGGCAGGCGGGACTTGGCCCAAGACCTGGAACCAGTTGTATCCAGGGAGTGGCCCGGGAATGGGGATTCCCTCTCCTCCCAACCCGGGCCCACCCTCTAAGGTGATTTTTCCCAGTGCTGGGTTCTGCTGTGGAGGGAGGCAGCAGGACTAGAGGGCTTGGGGGAGGGCCCATGTTTGTCTAGTGCGCTCTATGCGCCAGGCACTCACCGAGGTATGTTTCATAGAATTGCTACAACAGTCCTACTCTGCTGAGTATTGTTCCCATTTTACAGACAGGGAAACTGAGGGCCAGGGAAGAAAAGGGCCACAGCCATACAGGAAGCAAGGAGCGGCCTAGGCCAAAAGCCAGTCATCCAGACTCCTCGTCCCCAAGGCATCATAACTGATCCGATGGCTACAGTTTGGGGATGCATTTTTTTTAGCACCAGAAAGCTGGTGGGGTTCCCTCTTTTCCCTCTTCCCAGTCTCGTCCCACCTCCCAATCCCTCTGGCCACTGACTTTGCAGACACGTGTCCCATGGGGGATTTTTAAGTTGAACGGCACATTGGCTCACCTAAGGGTCTGATTCTGACTGGGGAACAGAGCCCAGCATCACACAGACCAAGGTCTGCATCCTGGCTTTGCCACCTCCCACCATGGATCTGCAGCTGGTCGCTGAGCATTGAGGAGACCCCACCTGTCATATGGGACAGTGACACTTCTGTGCCTGGGTCATGGTGAGGATTATGAGGGAAAAGTCTAGCCATTGCATTTCGGCAGGTCTCCTTCCAGAGCCATCCAAAGTTTGTGGATGGCCGTTCATTCGCCTGGTTTTTACTTCTGAGCTCTTTAGGGAATCATTCCCCAGCCTCTAGCTCTGGGCCTGGACACACCAAGTCCTGGATACATACCTGTCCTATGGCTGAATGAATGACTGAATTAATAATAGTATGTGTCTTTATCAGTCAGAAATTGCATCTGTGGGAGAGGCAGCCAGGACCCTGGAGTCTGACACTTATTTGATGGCTTTCTTAGCCTCCCATTCCCCAGGTACCCACCCACTTAACAGATGAGGCTATCAACACTCAGGGAATCCCGGAGAACCACCCAAGGCCCTGGCCAACTTGGGGCAGATCTGGTGTAGATTCCATTCTCAGCAGCCACGTGGACAGCTTCTGGAACTGCAGATGGCCCAGAGTGAAGATTTTAGGGCCCACTGGTTCCTCCTTGTTTCAGGGTCAGTACTAACCTCTTTTGTGCCAGCCACGGCAGACACTGAGGGCTGAGGAGGGACTCAGGGGTCCCTTTCTCAGCTTCCGGTGGGATCTGCCTGCTCTGCTCTGCAGCAGCAGGAAGCAGCCAGCTGGACAGTAAGCCAGGCCAGGGTGATTCACAGACAGCGGGATTTGGTTAGTGGGGAGCTGACACAGCAAAAGAAAGGAGGCTGGGAAGGCCAGGGGACAGGAGGCAGGGCCTGCTAGGAGGCATTCCAGCCAGCGATTAGGGAGGAAGGAGGATGCAGAGCCACTAAAGAGGGTTCAGAGGCTCGGGTTCTGGGGCCACTCAGGCACTGCCTGGTGGTGTGACCCAGGGCCCATGCCTTAGCTCTTCTGGGCCTGGGTGTCCCTGCCTGCACAACGGGTCAGGGTCCAATGAGCAACCACGTTCCTTCCAGCAATTTCTTCTTTCTCCCAAATCTGGAGCCCTGCGGTGGGAATGGACATCTTCCCCTCGCCTCAGTGGTTCCTTTCTTGGCTATCAATCACTGTTGCTCCTCACTCATCCCAAGCCCCAGCCTGGTCAGTTCTCTCTCCTCGCTCCTGCTGAGTGATCTTATTCACAATGAGATCATTAGGGCTTCAGTTCCCATGTGCTCTTGGTGATGGGATCACAGTTTTACTCATTATGTAGGAGTCCTTGGGTGGAGCCAATGGTTAATGCCATTGGCTAATAACCAAAAGGTTGGAGGTTCAAGTCCATTCAGAGGTGTCTTGAAGGCAAGGCCAAGCAATCTTCTTCCAAAACAACAGCCACTGAAAACTGTATGGAGCATATTTCTACTCTGACACACACACAGTTGCCGTGGGTCAAGAGTTGACTGAGGCTGTGTGATTATAAGATTGGTGCCTACGTCCCTCGCCTAACTGAAAGCCCCAAGAGGGCAGGAATTGTTTTCGTTTGTGTCCACCAGTGCTGGGCACAGACACAACACTCAATGCGAGGATCTGATGGTCCTACCTGTGGGCACAGCAGAGGTGACACACCTTGAAGGCTGCCTCCTGGCCAGCCACGGTGTGAGCAGGGGCTGAGTCTGCCTGAACTTTCCATGTCAGACACCCAGGAGCCTGCTCCTACCTCCCCCAGAGCTGAGCTTGGCCATGGACACAAGGGAGCAACTCCTTCCCAGGACTAAACACCCACCTTTTCACCTTTTGGTCCAGGGGGTCCGAGAGGTCCTACAATGCCTTTGTGACCCTACAGGAAAATAAGGTCATGACAGGTGAGAGAACTGGGGGGAGGGTTTGAAGACTCAGGAGGGACCAAAATGAAAGGACAGAAGTTCACACATGCAGACACTGGGCTGCTTGGCTGGGCCCCAGCTTGGCCTTCGCTCACTGTGTGAGCAGGCCCTATACCTCTGGGCCCTGGACTCCCAGACATACCACCTAGGGTTGGCTTGACCAGCTTGGATGGTAGGACTCTGCCCACCCTACCTTGGAGCAGCGCTGGGGCCACATCTCCGGAGAGCCAAGTAGTGTCCTCCAGACAGGGGCAAGATGTTTGTCCCTGCAGATTGCCCCTGCTGTGGCTAGAACTGCAGGCACGGATGCCTCTCTTGGGTGGCTTGCACCTCCCTCTCTCCAGGTCCCCACTTCTTTAGCCTCCTTGAGCCTCAGTTTCCAATTTGGAGCAAGCCCCATGCCTCTTTGAATCCTGATCTCCCCAGATGTATAAGTGGGTTTGCCTCAACCACCCCTGAGTAATGGTGTCAGCTTGGGTGAAAAGTGGGCTAAGCCTCCTCCACCCCACAGACAGCAGTTGTGAGGCTCAGAGACGAGGCACATGCAGCACCCACCACCGGAGGGACGTGGTCTGCGAGGACTCAGGGATGTGCACTCCCTCTCCAGCTGCCCCACCCCTACCCATCCCATCAGTCACCCTCCACCCCACCTCATCTCTGGGCCCAGGTGTTCCCTGGGCAGGTGACACCACCTGTAGCTGACCCTCAGCTAGAAGACTGTGGGGACAGCGGCCTGTGGGCCAGAGTTCCCAAGGGAGGGGGAGGGCAAAGTTTCTTAAGGCAGAATCGTCTTACGTCATAACCAGCCAGTCCCGGTTCTCCTTGGGGCCCCATCCGTCCTGGAGCACCCTGTGAAAGGAGGAGACCCTCATTGGTTCTCGCAGCAGGGACCCAGCGCAGTCTCGCCCCCAAGCTCCAGCCCGGCCACTGGGCTCGCCTGCTCTGCCCAGAACCAAGGCATCATGCTTCCACCCTTCTTCCCTGGAACAGCCCTCCATCCCAGCCCTTCTTAATCCCGGCTCCAGCGACTCATGAGAGCTGACTGCTAAACGCCCAGGAATTTTGTAAGCCTGCTGTAAAATGGAATTGTTAGTTAAAATTAAATTATATGAAATGAAGATTAAATAAATTATACTACAAACAACTCACTGCTGTTGAGTCGGATCCAACTCATAGCGACACCTCTTTAGGTTTCCAAGACGGTAACACTACAAAAGTAGATTGCCCAACCTTCCTTCCGAGGAGTGGCTAGTGGGTTTGAACCATCAGCCTTCTGCTTAGTAGTCAAATGCCTTAGGCACTACACCACCAGAGCTCCACAAACAAAGGTGATACATATTCCTTCCTAATTTAATACATGTTACTAATGCCCAAGCTCCTAGGGTTGTATCTCTTGCATCTGTGTGGTGGAAATACTACATAATGCAGTGCCCCTGAGTATCCCTCCCAACTTGGCATTCAGCAACATGAAGGTAGCAGCTTGAAATCAACCATGGCGTGAGCATTTACACCACAGGAATGGGTAAATACCACTAACCAGCACTGTGTTTACCAGCACACACTAGCTGCTGCTCAGAGATGCTGCATTATTCTCTTCTACCCCTGTCTCCCCCATCGAGTCTGCAGTTGTCAGATCCCTTTGGGGTCCTTCCTTCAGGGCAGCCCAGCACGGGCCTGGGGCACCCTGAGAGTCATCCATGGAGCTGCAGCCACTCCACCTTGATCCTCACGGCTATTTCTCCACCGGGAAACACCTTGTTTGATAAGACTTCAAGAGTCTAGTCCCCTCTCCTCACCCCAATAGCAGGGATTGTTAATCTGGATCTATAGAGAGCTCAGGGGACTCACCAAACAAACAAAATCCAAACCCACTGCTGTCAAGTGATTCTGACTCACAGCAACCCTACAGGACAGAGCAGAATTGCCCTATGGGGTTTCCAAGACGGTTAAGTCTTTATGGAAACAGACTGTCACATCTTTCTCCTGCATAGCAGCTGGTGGTTCGAACCATCAACCTTTTGGTTGGCAACTGAGTGTTTTAACAACTGCTCCACTAAGGCTCCTTCTCCAGAGGATCCACCAAAAAACCAAGTCCATCAAGTTATTCCAACTCATAGTGACCCTACAGGACAGAGTAGAACTGCCCCATAGCGTTTCCAAGGCCATAAATCTTTGTGGAAGTAGATTGCCTCATCCTTCTCACACAGAGCGGCTGGAGGGTTTGAACCACCAACTTTTTGCTTAGCAGCTGAATGCTTTGACTACTACACCACCTGAGCTCCTTAGGGGATCCACAGATACATACAAATTGCAAGAAATATTTGGTGTTGTGTGTACTTCTCCAGGGAGAGAGGCTGCAGCTTTCTGCAAGTTCCCACAGGGCTCCAAGAGCCACAAGAGGCAGCTAGGACATGAGTGCCCAGGTGTTCGGCTGACCACTGCGGTGGCAACATCAGCACAGGGGACCTGACACTTCTGACAACTGCCACCTCCCTTTCTGTCCTTGGTCCCCTCTGTTCCATGCTGGGCCCCCACCCCCTTGCCAGCCAGAGGGTCCTCACCGTTGGTCCCAGACTGCCCCGGGACCCTTTAGGGCCTGGGGTGCCAGGGGGTCCGGGGTCTCCAGGGGTGCCCATCTCACCCAGCTGTCCTTGGTAGCCCTTGGCACCCTACAGCAGGAGGAGAGACAAGCTGTCACAGGGCCCCAGCAGGATAAAGGGACAGGGAGGGAGTGGGGCAAGGGTAGAGGAGAAGGGTGGGGGTGGGAGAAGGCAGGGCTACCTTGGCTCCTGTCCGGCCCTTCTCTCCTTGCTTGCCTGGCTTTCCTTCAGGACCCTGAAAGGGAGGGGAGGGAAGAGTGAGAAAAAGGTGAGAAATGAGAGGACACTGGAAATTGATCCACAGCTTGGTTAGGTACCAGGCTGTCAGGTTCACAGCTGACTCTGCACACGTGACTTCAACTCCTTGAGCTTCAGTGTCCTCATCTGTGAAAAGGGCATAGGAGCAGAATCTGCCTTGTAGAGGTGAATGCTGTTCACACATTTATAACAAGTGAGTGCTGGGCAAGAGTGTACCTAGTACCATAGTCCTTGATGTCAGGATTATTGGTTGGTGCTTGGAGGCCATCCTAATGGGAACAGCTCTCTGAACTGAGCTCTCCACGGGCCAAGCTCTGTCCACTCCCCTCAACCATGGGTCAAGCCCAATGAAGACCCCCTTCCATAGATGGAGAAAACTCAAGTTTCCAAGGATGATGTAACTAACTTGCACAGGGTCCCAGGTGGTTCCTGATTCAATCTGGGATCTGCTGATTTCACGTCCAGGACCCTTTCCACCTCCAGCTCAGGTTTTCTAGGTTCTCCCCCACCTCTACACAGTTCCTAGTGTCCCGTCCCACTGGCAGTCCCCCCTTTTGGGAACTGGGGTAGGAAGGACTTCTCACTGTGGGTCACTGTGTCGGGAAGGTCAGCCACCCTCTCAACTTGCCCGCTGAGGAGTTGCTAACAAGTTGCTTTGCCATCTCACAGACTCTATCCCACAGAGAAGGAGTTCTGGTGAGGGTGACTGAGCACCCAGCTTCTAGCCAAAAGGTTGGGGGTTCGAACCCACCAGCTGCTCTGTGGGAGACAGAGATGACAGTTGACCATATAACAGCCTTGGAAATCCTATGGCGCAGTTCTACTCTGTCCTATAGGGTCATTATAAGTTGGAATCATTATCCCACTAGACATCCCTGACCTGCTCAGCCTGTCCTGCCTTTGGGAAAGTGGTCTGGCTTTGTCTCCATAGTCAGGGAAACTACTCAAGAAATGAGGGAGTGTGTGAAGTGTGCATATTGTGAAAGAGAGAGAGAGGAGGGAAGAGCCCCACCCGGGCACACTGGCACGAGATTTGGGCCGGGATGAAGGGTTAGAGCCGGAGAAGTTTCTGGCCTGGAAGGGACTTCTTGATTGCCCCTAGAAGACAGTCTCCTCAAGGCCCAAGCCTCAAAGGGAGCTGGGAAGAACATTTACATTCATGAAAAGCACTACAGAGTGGTGTGTGTCAGCCCCGTGGCTGCACTGCCAGAGGCTCACACCATAGTACCATGGAGGTGAAGGTCTGATCTCGCGATGGGAGCAGTGCTTCAACAAGAGGCCCAGACTACTCGTGCTGGAGGAGAGGCAGGAAGAGGCCGGCCTGGGGGAACGTGGAAACACCTGGGCCACCCAGAGGGCCTCGATTCCTGTCTGCAGATTTTGCAGAGACGCCAAGTTCTCTGGGGTGGCCAGAGACAGAAGTTACTGGGGCGGGAGTAGCTTCGAATCAGTGCAAGGGAGAAAGTCTGCCCAAAAACACAACATGGAAAAACATGTATAGAATTCACTCTGTGCCAAAGGGAACCAGCAGGGAGGACTGCCCTGAGTCCTGGCACTTGACTTTCATGTGACCCTGGACAAGCCCCTTCCCTTCTCTGGGCCTCAGCTTCCCCACTTCTGATTGAAAGTCTTGGACTAGCCCTTTATGGTCCAACATGGTGACCACTAGCCACATGCAACCACTGGGCACCTAAACTGTGGCCACTGTGGCTGACAAAGGGAATTTTTCATTTAATGTGATTCATTTAAAATTAAAATAAAAAACTGATACACAATTCAGTTACTGGAGATCCTTTATGGAACTTGGGTATATGAATCTACTTTCTCAAGTGGACATTTTACAAAACCCATGTACAGATCAAGTACTTTCAATGAAAATTTAGCATCTGAATTGCTTTCAAAGATTTGGGGGGAAGAAAAAGAACAAACTATCTCATTAATCACTTTTGAAATATTGATTACATACTGAAATGATAATATTTTGGATATATTGAGTTAAATAAAACATCTTATTAAAATTAATTTTACTTGTTTCTTTTTCGGAGTTCTGGTGGCATCGTGGTTAAAGTGTTCGTCTGCTAACCAAAATGTCAGTGGTTTGAACCCACCAGCTGCACTACAGGAAAAAGATGAGGCCGTCAGCTTCCATAATGATTTACAGCCTTGGAAACCCTATGGGGCAGTCCTACTCTGTCCTATAGGGTTGCTATGAGTTAGAATCGACTTGATGGCAGTGGGTTACGTTTTTTGTTGTTGTTGTTGTTTCTTTTTACTTTTTATAAATGTGGTGTCATGAACATTTAAAATTACACAAGTGGCCTATATTCTATTTCTTTATTATTTTGTGGCAAAAATATACTTAACCAAACATTCCATCTCAACAGTTTCTACAGGCACCATTCAGTGAAACTGATTACACTCTTCAAGTTGTACAACCATTCTTGCTACATTTTTGCCAAATCATTCCACCACTAGGAACATAACCTCAATGCTCCCTAAGCAAAAATTCCCTTTCCCGCTCCCTACCACCCATTGTTGTTGTTGTTGTTGTTTGCCATCGAGTCGGCCCCGACTCATAGCGACCCCTCCTTGGGTTTCCGAGGCAGTATCACTAGGGAAGTAGGAATGCCCAACCTTCCTTCCGAGGAGTGGCTGGTGGGTTTGAACCGCCAGCCTTCTGGTTAGCAGTCAAGTGCCTTAGCCACTATGCTACCAGAGCTCCCTTACCACCCATTGTTGTTGTTGTTATGTGCCGTCGAGTCAGCCCCGACTCATAGAGACCCCTCCTTGGGTTTCCGAGGCAGTATCACTAGGGAAGTAGGATTGCCCAACCTTCCTTCCGAGGAGTGGCTGGTGGGTTTGAACCGCCAGCCTTCTGGTTAGCTTACCACCCGTAGTAACCACTAATTATCTTTGGCTTCTGTATATTGCTTATTTCATATAAGTGAGATCATACGCTTCTGTATATTGCTTATTTCATATAAGTGAGATCATACAATATCTGTCCTTTTGCAACTAATTTATTTCATTCAACATGATGTTTGCAAGGTTCATCCATGTTGTGGCACGCATCAAAATGTCATTTCTTGCCGTATTCTATTTCTATTGGACAGTGCTGGACTAGACAATCTCAAGGTCTCTTACTTCATAATGTTAACAAAACCCAAACCCACTGTCATCAAGTCGATTCCAACTCATGGCAACCTCCATTGGGTTTCCGAGGTGGTAAATCTTTACAGAAGTAGATCGCCCTATCTTCCTTCTGCAGAGTGGCTGGTGGGTTTGAACCACCAACCTTCTGGTTAGCAGTCAAATGCCTTAGGCACTGCACCATCAGAGCTCCTTAGATTAGCAAGAAGAGTAATAAAATACTAATAATCCTCATAGAACCATGGGCCAGTCACTATGTCTGCACCCTACATACACATCTCATTCAATTCTCACAATATTGTTGGGAGGAAGGGATTATGATCCCCTTTTACAGCTAAAGAAACTGACGCTCAGCAAGATGAAAGTGCCGTCTCTGGGCCGCCCAGCCAGGGTAGAAATGAGACATGGATCTTTAGACTCTGGCCCCCTGTACTCAAGGCTGGGCTGCCTGGGCAGTGATGAAATCATGGTAACAGGGGGCTGATAGAATCTGACGGTGGATTGAAATGATTGCAACGACCGAGGCCTGATCAGGAGGAGCAATGAGTCAGTGTCGAAGCACTCAGTACAGGCCAGGGAGACACAAGGCGGATCACCCCCAGGACAGGCAGCCGCCTGTTCTCCAGGCTGTCTCCAGCTGAGACACCCCCCACAGTGGGAAACCCTGAGTAAGGGCTGGAGCATCTAGCTGGATGAGGCCGTGGGGCAGGAATTAGGACTGTTGCTGGGCCCCGATCCATATCTATGCATTTCTGGAAAGGCCCTGATGGCTCATAAAATTTTATTTTTAAGTACTCTACTGTTTCCAGGACAGAGTGGGAGACATTTGACCTGCAACCCTGAGGCCAAATAAACACAAATATTGGTCTCTCAGCACCTCCACAGCCCTGAAACACATTCAGTCTGGCTCCAGGGAATCTCTTTCCACTCCTGGCATATGAGAATGGGAGGTGACAGCAAAATATTGATTAATACTGCTATCACTGCCACTCTGTCACAACTGCCACCAACATCACTACCATGGCCACTCTATCACCACTATCAGCACTACTACTACTACCACCATCACCACCACTGCCCAATACCATCAGCACCAACAGCACCATCACCACCAACTACCACCACCATATCACCACCATCAGATACACCACCATCATCACAACCATCATCACCACCCCACTCTCACCACAACCACCACAACTATCATCACCCACCATCTCTATTACTGCTGCCACTATCATCACCACCACTAGCATTAGCACCACCACCATCACCACCATCACGACCATCATCATCATCATCATCATGACCACCATCACGACTACCACCATTACCCCCATCATCATGATCACCACTACCAACACCACCACAACCATCACTACCACAACCATTATTATCACTACTATCACCACCACCACCACTATCACCATCACCACCACCACCACCACCACCATCATCACCACTACCACCAGCATCATGACCACCACTATCACCACTCCCACCACCATCACAACCATCACCACCACCACCATCACCGCTACCATCAACATACCACTACTATCACAACTGTCACTAGCCTCACAGCCACCATCACTACCATCACTGGCTTCCAGTCATTTCCTCATTCAGATGCATAAAGACACTCTGCTTTATTTCTGGTGCATTTTATGAAGTGCTTTCATTTCCAAAGTTTCATTTACTCTTTATAAATGAGAAAACCAAGACTCAGAGAGGGGCAGTGATTCATCCAAGGTCACACTGAAAGTCAGCGTTTGAGCCAGAAACTAGGGATCAACTTCCGACCTCTGGGTCCAGGGCTATTTCTGCCACGTCATTGCCATTCCACAATCCTGACACTCAAAAACTCACAGAAAAGTGTCCCTGACTCTTTGAAATTCATAACGGTCTTAGAGCACATTCCTTCCAAATCTTTCATCTTTCCAGAGGCAAGGAAGACCAAGAGAGGGCAAGGGGCAAGTGAAAGGTCCAACACCAAGTTACTGTTAGAGAATCAGACCAGAGCTCCTCCTGCTAACCATTTCCTCAGTGCTGTGTCAAGCCCCGGGGAAGTCTCTCTAGTAGTCTGGTGAGCTCACTACACTGCAGCTGTTAAGGGGGATTAGCACTTCAGTTCTATTTTAGGAAACAAATACAATTTTCCCACGGCCACAGTTTCTTGCCGGCTAATTTGGACCCGTTCTAGGTTAGTCATTTCAACACCTTAGGAGGCAAGAAAAAATCTCAAGAGCAGGCCTGAATGAAATGGGGCAGCTGTGCCTGGGTAACAACATCAGTCTCTCCGTTTGGGGGATGAAGAGTTTAATTCACAGTCCAGGGAAAATGGTCTGCCAGCAGAGGCCCAAGATCTCTCCACCTGCCTTGCTCCAGGTAGAATGCCAGCAGGCTTGTACATCTGGGCAGCTTATCTACAAGGCTGCCGAATTCACTGTTCCCAGGCAGCGCCAATGAACTGGCCCAGCCCTGGGAAAATGCTACTTCCCGTTCACGACTGTGCAAACCTACACAGACTGAGGACAAAGTCAAGTCCCAAGTCAACAGTCTAACACTGGAAGCACTTGATAAATAGTCCTCCATCTGTCCCCCACCTTCACCCTCCCAGCTGCCCAAGCTGAGCCCTGGATTCCAGACACACTGGAGCAAAAGCAGTGTGAACAGAATTAGGCAGATCCAGGTTCAAGTCTCAGCTCTGCCATTCCTTAACTATGTGAGCCTGGGCAAATTCCTTGACTCTCTGATTCTCTGAGTCTTCAGAGGTTTGCCATCAGCATCAAAGAATATCAAAGAGTGAGTATTCTAGAAAGTATCAGGAATGGGGTCTGCACACATTGAACAGGGAAGTTCCTATCCCTTTCTCACCAGGTTCTACATCCTTCAAGGACAGGGATGCTATCTGATTCACCGCTTCATCCTCAGGGATGATGAAGCCCCTAGAAGATGCTCCTGAGTGTTTGTGGGGGACTAAATGCATTTCTGGTAGAATGGAAGACCAGAGTGTCTCTCTTCTCAATCAGTAAACAGGGTTTGGCCGCCTCCTATGTGACAGGCACTGGGTTAGGTGTTAAGGCAATAAAGGTGAATAAGATAAGGTCCTGGCCTTCATAGAGGTGACATATTCACTCACCACACAGTTACACAGTGAGGGGCTTGGATGCGACTGGAGGCACATGGCCCAGCCTGGGAGCAGGGAACACTTTCTGGAGGGAGTGAGGTCTCTGATGATAGCTGAAGGCCACATGGGAGCTAAGCAGGTACTGGGGAGTGAGGAAGGGTGAGTGTCTTAGAGGTAATAGCATGTGCAAAGGCCCAGGGGTGAGAGCACGGCTTGTTCAAGGGACAAAAAATTCAATCTGACTGAACGTGGGCTTGGAAGGAACGAGGCTGGCAGGGGCCGGGACTGTGTAGGGCCGGGCAACCCAGGCTACGGAGAGCGGAGTTTGTTCTGAGGGCACTGGGGAGCCATGGAAGGCTAAGCAGGGGTAGGACACGGTCAGACTGGTACTCCAGGAATCTACCCGGTGGACAAAGGACCACAGCAAGATCACTTAGACAGCTGCTGCCACAACCTCCCTGCCCCCAGCCGCTTGAAGTAGCGACAGTGTCTTTACCTAGGAGCCCCAAGAGATGGCACACAGCCATGCACACTCACCCGGATGCCGGTGATCCCAGGGGGGCCCGGGGGCCCATCCTCGCCCATCAGCCCCTCCTGGCCTTTCTCGCCATGCTCACCATCAGGCCCTGGGTCACCCCTGTCCCCCTGGGTAGGAAGGACAGGAGGAGGGGAGAGAGAGAGAGAGAACTAATAAGTAACCATGTCTATTAGAGTCTGAGCGTTGGGTCTGGCCTGGCTCGGCCTTACACAGCATACAGTCCCAGACAGTGGTGGTCTCTACATGTGCTTGCCTGGCCAGGGAGAAAGAATGGCCCAGACTGAACACAGGCTCCTAGCCCACTTGGCCCATGAAGATCTCAGGGGGGTCCAGTCTGGGAGGCAAGGACTATTTCCCTCCAACTTAGAGACCTTGGGAGGACAAGAGTCTTAATCTAAAAGGAATTCACCCAATTCTTTCACTCAGAACCAATGCTTTCCACTTTTCTGAGTTCCATTTCCAAACCCTGCTTACACAAAAATAGTTTACAATTTTAATAATAACAGTAAAGGTGATAGTTATTAACAGATAACAGTGATCGCTATGCACCAAATGAGAACAGTGAAGCAACTGCTCCAAGTGATGACGCTAGTTAGCAGGAAATGAAGCTCCCAAGGCATAATCCAAGAGGCCTGCATGTCCAACTGCAGTATTTTTGTTTTTGTTTTTTAATGTCTTTATCTCTAACACGTTCTCCCATTGTTGTCTGCTCTGTGGCTTTACTGTTCTCACTGGCTGAAGGACACGTCCTCTATCAAGTGGGCAACAGCTGACACTTTCATAGCACTGGCCATATCCAGACCCTGCCTTAGTGGCTTTCCACGTATAAATGAATTTGTTGTTGTTGTTGTTATGTGCCGTCGAGTCAAAAATAAATGAATTAGCCTCACAGAAATCTGAGGTAGGTACTCTTTTTTCCCCATTTTACAGATGAGGAAACTGAGGCTGAAAGAAGTCAAGCTGTCTTGCTCATTGTTGCTTTAGAGTTTGCTGACAACCAGCAAACTGGTTGGGAGGCAATGGTGGCAGTGACCCCTAGCATTGCCTAAGCTTTATGGCGTAGTGCCTAAAGCATTTGACTGCTAACCAGAAGGCTGGCAGTTCAAACCCACCAGCCACTCCTTGGAAGAAAGGTTGGGCAATCTACTTCCACAAAGATACCCCCTCAGAAACCCAAGGAGGGGTTGCTATGAATCAGATCTGACTCCATGGCAGTGAGTTGGTTTTTTTGTTTTTGTTTTTGTTTTTGTTTTTTGGTTTATCATGCATCAGATGCTATGCTAAGCTATTTACACAGCTTATTTCTTTTAATGCTCATAGTAACACTTTGATCTGTATTTCACAAATGCCTGCCCTCCTTCACACAGCTATTGAGTGGTGGCAGTAAGACTGGTTCTCGGCAGAATTTTAAATGGAATCCAGACTTTCTGGAGCCATTGAAGCTGGGTGCATTCCCAAAACTATTGCCCTGACATAATCTAAACTTTAAACCAAAACTATTCCCTGAATTCTTCTTTGAACCCCAAAACAGCTTATGTTCATTAGTGAAGCACTGTGCTCTTTTAAAGAAGTGTCCATTTGAGATTAAATCAATGACAACAACTTTAATTGTAAGATGAAAAGCTTAAGGATAGAATATTTTAGAAAAAGATAGCAAGAATGGCAGCATGACCTGAAGGACATAATCAATGTCATTGAATTATTCATGTAGAGATTGTTGAAATGGTGTATCTTTGACTGTATATACTTTCATCAAAATTATGTATATAAACCACTCCCTTGGAGTTGACTCCAACTCATAGCAACCCTATAGGACAGAGAAGAACTGCCCCATAGGGTTTCCAAGGCTGTAAATCTTTACAGAAGCAGACTGCCTCATCTTTCTCCCACAGAGAGGCTGGTGGGTTTGAACCGCCA